AGCAGCGATAAGCATAGCCTATGTAAGCAACTGGAACAATAGCCTCGGAGTCACTTTATCATTATCGACTGCCGAGTAACAAGTTACTACTTGTAACACTTGTTAAGTTTAAGTGCAATATATTCAATATTGAAGTACATGTGAATACGGTGAAATATTATACAAATAAAGGATCAGTCAGAACCAATCTCATTGGCTGACTTAAAATTATATATTTATTTTATTCCTAACGAGTAAATAAATTAATTAAATTATTATTATATACTTTGCATATTTGCATTCTAATATGCGTATTACATACAAACGAGGGGTAATAATATTTACATTTCTAAACATAATTTAAATATTCCTTTAAAACCGAGCGTTGTTGCAACCGTGAAACGAATTTCAAAGGGAAAGGAATGTTGAGTTGCGTAGCAGCAAGCCATTACGGCAAAGAACACAAAGCGTGCCACCCGAGCATAAGCGGCAGGGTCCGTTTGTTTTGCCTCGTTGAGATCGCCAACGAAAACCGGTTTTGGCGGCAAAAATAGTCTTCGTCTGAACATGCACATACATGGCTCATAACGTTTACACAGTTTCGCGTGTTCACAATGCAAGTTTTATATTTTATATTATTATTTATATTTATATTCAAATTTTAATATTTAAAAAGATTTTGTGAATTTTTTACAGTGGTTTCAATCATTTTTTCCTCCAATGCAGATGTTGAGTTTTTTTCTTTATAGTAAAACAAGCTTTTCTTCGTTTTTTCGGCATTTTATAGAAAATCGTAGGAAAAACTGAAGAAATAATAAAGCAAAACCAATATTAAAAATGTTGTTTTCAACAACACAATTTATTACAAATACATATATACTGCCGCGATTCATATTGAACGTGTGCGTTCAAAAGCGGTCTTACCAGTTCGAAAATTATGAGCATATTAACAACAACAAAAAAGTGAATTTATTGAGTTTTTCGAAAAGTTACTGGTACGTGTGACCGTACAGATTGATAACATATTGCAAATACTGAAATAGGCACTGGCTGAATTTAAAGATTGGTCATTCAGCCAAAAAGAGGCCGCACTAAGTACACTGATCAACCAACCAAGATGAGCATAACTCGCATAAATTTGCCTAATATTCAAACGAATACAAAATTGATATGTCAAGCAAAGCGATTAATAATAGCAAATGATCTCGCAATCTCTAACACTTTAGAAAACTCCGTAAACCCACTATTACTCAACTAACCAAAGGTTTAGTTAATAATCCTCTTGACCCTTATTGAAGCGACCGTGGAATATTGTGGTTACAAAAGTTAAACCAAGAGCCGTAAGCCCCCTAAAACTAAAATACCAATAATATGCTGTATCAGAGAATACAGTCACCCACAATGGTCTTTTAGATGCCTTGATATGACCGCTATGAACTGTGAACAAGATGGAGTAAGGGAGACAGAAGGTTATGATGAAACTGATCCTTTTAGAGGGAGCGTCAGACACCTGTTATACATGGAAGCGGCACAAATACTACAATGAATATGAAGTTTTTACAGCCTAACCTAAACGATTGTCAAGCAGCACAGGCCTGTTAAAAAAGTCTGAAGGGGATGCACTTGACCTTACTCAGTGAACCATATAGAAACGGTGATATTGCAAACTGATCGACGACTTAGGAAATAAAGCGTCTGTAACCTGTTTAACCCTAACTCACCTCAAAACCTTTTACTTTTTAAACGGCTTTGTTCGATCAAAAATGGCATATAATAATATCTATTAAAATTTTTGGATTAAGATTTATGAAGAATTATCGACTGTTTTGTGACTGATGTCCGAAGTGAAAGAAATATACTAATAGCTTGTGACTGCCAATAAAAAACACACATAGTATGGGTAAAGCCCTACTGAAAGATTTTGCTTCCCTTGATAATAAGCTTTTAAATAAATACAAACAACATATCCGTTTTTAATAAAGGTGGACGACAGTCAGTTATACACCTGACTTTCGTACATTCAAGTTTTGTTCGTAGATCTCAATCAGAAAAAAGTGATAATTTTACGCACACATTCGGAAAAGTGACTATCGCGAACTAAAACATTTGACCCAGATCTCAGGCCTTTACATCCACTACTCTATCAGAGAATTTGCTGCCGGCCAATAGCTTCGCATCAATGTCCAATACGATATATAAAAGAAGGAAACTTTTTTCGCTTGGTACTCTGAAAAATAGGTTCTTAGACACTTTTAGGACAGTCTCTCCAAGTATTACTTCTTAATTGTAACAGGAAGGTACTCCTCCTTACAGTTTCCTTTTTTGTTTTTTTATTACCAGGAAAATACAAAAATTGAATGATCTATGAAAAATCTCTTTCGATTTTTTAGTAAATCTTACCGTCAGTGATGAATTTACGCCTAGGTCCGTGAGGCAGAATTTTTGAGGCGAAAAAACGTTTAGACAATCTTTTTCAAAAATTGGTTCAGATTAGCTTTTATAAACCATTTTCTATAGAATATATTATAATTCAATTATATAGGTAAGATGGTAATTTTTTAATAGATTAATTATAGTCCTTATCGAGTAATGCTCTTTACTTTCTGTACCTTTAGTGAGATTAACAACACCCGTGTGTGAAGCATTTTGAAACTACTAAATCTGAGTAACTTCTCAATTTGTTTTTAGTGTGAAAAAAATACCCTAGTATTGCATGTATTGAATATCATTTTGATATTTATTCAAAAGTATCAGAACATTTTTTGTTTATAAAATAATTTTTCATAAAAAATAAATCCCGTAATTTTCGATATTAAATTTTTTGAATCATCGAAATAATTGGTAAACAAATTTTATTTTCTACTTTGCAAGAACACCACAATTTCTTTACTATATCTACACATCGTTGGGAGATTTTAGTACAGCGTACAAATTTAAGAGTTAAGAGTCTTTCTCAAACTCGTTGGTCTGCTCGACATGATGCACGTTATGCATTAGAAAAAGAGTGGTCTGCAATAATGATGCACTGGAATTTATTGCCGAAAGTAGAGTTGAGAAACCGACTACGCGATCTGAAGCTGCGAGATTGCAGTGAAAATTACAGCATTTAGAAACAGCAATCCAAGTCACCGTTTGAAATGTAATTTTAGATCGTTTCAATGCGTTTCAAAACGATTTCGATAAAGACGTTTTTGAGATAGTCTGGAGTGCGGCAGAGACACCAGGTGTAGACGCCGCCCACTTGGTATCCGCAGTGCGGAAAGCACTGATCGCAACATGCGACGCAACTATTAGGACAACATACCGTAATAAACAAAAGCCAGTATATTAGTGGAACGAGGAAATAGCCACGCTAAGGAAACTTGGTCACTCATTCAGACGTCGCCTACTGCGTAACCAGAGTGGAGCAAACGAACTTGAGTTCAGTGAAACGTTTACAAGGCACAAGAAGCTCCTGAAGTCAGCGGTTACCCGCAGCAAAAGAAACAGTTTCGAAAAGCTCTGTGATGAAGCGAACATAGACCCATGGGGAACTGCGTACATTGTAATTTGCATATCCCAATTTAAAAAGTCCCAGCAGCCTAATAGAGCATCCTTTATGAGAAGAGTAGGCGGGTCGTTAAGCCACGAAACGATGCTGCAGAATCACCATAGTTGGTCATTGAAGATGAAATGTTGACCATAGCTAAAAGAATAAGAAACAACAAAGCGCCTGGAATAGATGGCATACCCAACAGAGCCCTAAAGGAAGCCATGACTATAAGACCCAGTTTGTGTGCTAAAGATGGAAAGGTGGCACAAAAAAGTATTGTGCGCTAATTACTCTGGACGTGAGAAATGCGTTCAATTCCGCAAAATGGGCATATATAATCAAAGCTCTATACGAAATACGCGCTCCTCAACATATCGTAAATATTATAATGAGCAGTGGCTAAACATATAGATGACCTCAGGCTCAAATGCAACGATTGCATAAATGGGTGCGCTAATGGTTTGCTACCATGATTTTATAGCTGGCAGAGCAGAAAACGAAACACTTGCTCATAACCACAAGGAAGGTGGAAGAAAAGGTTAACACTCACCATAGAAGAGTGGGAGATTACTTCACAGCCGCAGCTGAAGTATCTGGAAGTAATACTAGACCAAATTAAAATTTAAGGAACACCTGGCCTATACTTCCGGTAACGCAAACAAAATTTATAACGCCCTATCGAATGATGGTCAATAAAGGCTGCGTGTGGCCGGCGGTTTTTAATAGCAAAAGTAATGAGTTGCGTGATATTATATGCAGCACCAATATGGATACAAGCGCTAGATATAAAATCATATGCTAGACCAATAAACGTATTGCATACGCTCTCTGCAATCCGAGTAATAAGTGCTTTCAGAACGGTATCAAGTGATCTGCTGAAGTATTAGCCGACATGCCGCTATTGTATTCAGGGGATAAATTCGCGCGACTGTACCAGCTTTCAGTGCCGTCTTCAAAAGTAAAAGAAGAGGCGAGAACCAAGAGCCTAACAATGTGGCAGCAGCGGTAGCAAACCTCTTCTAAAAGATGATGTATCCACATACTGATTCCGGACATTCATTCGTGGATAGACAGGTGACATGGGGACCTGGATTTCCATCTAACCCAAATACTGAGTGAGCATGATGCTTTAGAGTATATCTTCAAAATTCATTATGATATTAGTCCGTATTATCCAACGTGTACAGAATGCATAGAAGACTCCAAAGGCGATTTTTCAGTGCTCCCGTTTTTTAAATATTAGAAAAAATTAAAATCTACACTCGGTGGTAGTCTAACGGTGGAAACTTTAACAGCATATATGTGTCAGTCCTCTAAAAAATGGAAAGCTGTCAGCGAAGCGGCAGCTCTAATTATGACAAAACTGAGATACTTAGAATAAATTTTGAGTCAGTCAGTCCGTACCGTAGAGGAGACTTTAATGCCCTTTTCTCTCCTACTTAATCTGGTGGTTCCGTTGGAGACACATGAGTTGGTTAGGTTTAGCGGATTAAAGTTCCCCTACTATACAAAAAAAAAAAAAGGCCATACCGACATACTTGTGTACACACCGATCGAACACACATGTATGTATATCATGTATTGATCTGATTTTTGTGTTGCCTATTATAAACAGAGAGCGTATATCATAGAGAAGGTTCATGGTGTGCCGATTATCAAAATGTTCTCCTTGATGGAGGGTTAACATTAGAGGATTTTACTACAAACAAATTTTAATCGGATCTCACCAGAGTTTTACTCCTGCCGACTCCAAAATAGCAGATTTGAGCATTTTGAGTGCTATGTAAGAAAAATAATGCTATTATCAATATTAAGAAATGTGCGCTTACAGATTTGTTTACTTACAATGCATAAAAATTCGCACGATGAAATTCATAGATTGCATATAAACATATTGTATAAACGTATAAAAAAAAGCCAAAAGGCTTACATGCGGCTGTAAAATCAATGCAAATTTCTGAGCATAATTTTCATACAATGCTCAGATCTACTTACGCGCCACCGTTAAAATTTCTTCTTCTTAACTAGCTGTGGTGAAATTCACTCATCGAAACTTGTTAGGTTTTGACAATTCACACGCTGGTCCGCAATTGAACCTTCTCTCAGAGAGAGATATTCACGAATATAAATTGATATGTCAAATGATCGCGCAATCTCTAACACTTTAGAAAACTCCGTAAACCCATATTACTCAACTAACAAAGGTTTAGTTAATAATCCTCTTGACCCTTATTGAAGCGACGTGAATATTGTGGTTAAAAGTTAAACCAAGAGCCGTAGCCTCTAAAACTAATACCAATAATATGCTGTATCAGATAATACAGTCACCACAATGGTCTTTTAGATGCCTTGATATGACCGCTAAATGCTGCAAAACGGGGATAGGTCTGAATGCTGAACAAGATGGACCTGACCTTACTCAGTGAACCATATAGAAACGGTGATATGCAAACTGGTCGACGACTTAGGAAATAAAGCGTCTGTATAGAATTAACCCTAACTCACCTCAAAACCCTTACATTTGAAACGGCTTTGTTCGAGAAAAGTTGCCTATAATATATCTTTAAGATTTTTGGATTAAGATTTATGAAGAATTATCGTCTGCTTGTGACTGATGTCCGAAGTGAAAGTAATAACTAATAGCTTGTGACTGCAATAAAACACATAGTATCTAAAGCTCTACTGAAAGATTTTGCTTCCCTTGATAATGAGCTATTAAATATACAAACAACATATCCTTTTTTAATAAAGGTGGACGACAGTAGTGATACACCTGCCTTTCGTTCATCCAGTTTTGTTCGTAGATCTCAATGAGAAAAATGATAATTTTACGCACACATGCGGAAAAGTGACTATCGCGAACTAAACATTTGACCCAGATCTCAGGCCTTTACATCCACTACTCTATCAGAGAATTTGCTGCCGGCTAATAGCTTCGCATAATGTCCAATACGATATATAAAAGAAGGAAATTTTTTTCGCTTGGTACTCGAAAATAGGTTTTAGACACTTTAGGATAGTCTCTCCAAGTATTACTTCTTAATTGTATCCTCCTTACAGTTTCTTTTTTGTTTTTTTATTAACTAGAAAAATTAATTTATCGCTTCAAATACTAGCAAATTATCTCGTTCATATTTTTGTAGAAATTGATTGATCTACAAAAATCTCTTTCGATATATTTGTATGAAATTGATGATCTATGAAATTCTTTCGATTTTTTAATAAATCTTACCGTCAGTGATGAATTTACGCAGAATTTTTGAGGCGAAAAACGTTGAGACAATATTTTCAAAATTGGTTCAGATTAGATTTATAACAATTTTCTATAGAATATATTATAATTCAATTATATAGGTAAGATGGTAATTTTTTAATAGATTAATTATAGTCCTTATCGAGTAATGTTCTTTACTTTCTGTTCCTTTAGTGAGATTAACAACACCCGTGTGTGAAGCATTTTGAAACTACTAAATCTAAATAACTTCTCAATTTGTTTTTAGTGTGAAAAGAATACCCTAGTATTGCATGTATTGAATATCATTTTGATATTTATTCAAAAGTATCAGAACATTTTTTGTGTATAAAAATAATTTTTCATGAAAAATACATCCCGTAATTTTCGATATTAAATTTTTTGAATCATCGAAATAATTGGTAAACAAATTTTATTTTCTACTTTGCAAGAATACCACAATTTCTTTACTATATCTACATCGTTGGGAGATTTTAGTACAGCGTACAAATTTAAGAGTTAAGAGTCTTTCTCAAACTCGTTGGTCTGCTCGACATGATGCATGTTATGCATTAGAAAAAGAGTGGTCTGCAATAATGATGCACTGGAATTTATTGCCGAAAGTAGAGTTGAGAAACCGACTACGCGATCTGAAGCTACGAGATTGCAGTGAAAATTACAGCATTTAGAAACAGCAATCCAAGTCACCGTTTGAAATGTAATTTTAGATCGTTTCAATGCGTTTCAAAACAATTTCGATAAAGACGTTTTTGAGATAGTCTGGAGTGCGGCAGAGACACCAGGTGTAGACGCCGCCCACTTGGTATCCGCAGTGCGGAAAGCACTGATCGCAACATGCGACGCAACTATTAGGACAACATACCGTAATAAACAAAAGCCAGTATATTAGTGGAACGAAGAAATAGCCACGCTAAGGAAACTTGGTCACTCATTCAGACGTCGCCTATTGCGTAACCAGAGTGGAGCAAACGAACTTGAGTTCAGTGAAACGTTTACAAGGCACAAGAAGCTCCCGAAGTCAGCGATTACCCGCAGCAAAAGAAACAGTTTCGAAAAGCTCTGTGATGAAGCGAACATAGACCCATGGGGAACTGCGTACATTGTAATTTGCATATCCAATTAAAAAGTCCCAGCAGCCTAATAGAGCATCCTTTATGAGAAGAGTAGGCGGGTCGTTAAGCCACGAAACGATGCTGCAGAATCACCATAGATGGTCATTGAAGATGAAATGTTGACCATAGCTAAAAGAATAAGAACAACAAAGCGCCTGGAATAGATGGCATACCCAACAGAGCCCTAAAGGAAGCCATTAATATAAGACCCAGTTTGTGTGCTAAAGATGGAAAGGTGGCACAAAAAAGTATTGTGCGCTAATTACTCTGGACGTGAGAAATGCGTTCAATTCCGCAAAATGGGCATATATAATCAAAGCTCTATACGAAATACGCGC